AAAAAAATCAATCCTCATACCTAGCACATCAAATTTGCGCCTCAACAACACTAAGAACCTCAACCAATCAAAATAAATATTTCACGAGGAATTTCGGAATAATCATCTCTTCAAAAAAAAAAAAAAAAACTCATTCTCAAACCATACATTACACATTAATTCGTCTCCTACCACAAAAGTTATTCTCGAACTAAAAAAATATTCTCTTTCCCATAAACTTTTAAAAATTTTCAATACTAACCACATATTTTATAATTTTTCAAATTAAAGCATGGTATTATTTTATAAATTGGATTGGAAATTTATGTCACAAAATTAATTAATCATTACATGACTAAAAATCGAAAAGAAGAATTATTTGTACGAGAAATACTATTCATAAAAAAAAATGAAAACACACGAGCTAAAAAAAATAAAAATACATTGAGATGCACATAAAGTAATTATTTGTATAAGTAAAAAAAAAAATACATAATGCGTTCAATTGATAATACGTTCACATCAAAAAATATTGAAATACATATTTGATTGTTCAATTGATAATACGCTCACATCAAATAATATTGAAATATATATTTTATTATTTCGCTTATGATCAAAAGATGAATATATTAATTACAAATTGTAATTCATACACATATAAAATTTTGACATACATGTTTTGTTATTTTATATGCGAGTGAGATAAATATAATAAATTATTTATAAAAATTGAAAATTCATACACATAAGAATATCAAATATACATATAAAGAATAAGATGAATTATAGTTTTCTTATCTCAAGCTTTAAAGTATTTTAGAAAACATAATACTTGCTTACAATAACCTAGTTAAAAACTTTGTTTGCATAGAAATATTTTACAAATATTTCCAAATATTTTTCCACATTAAATTAGTTTACATATATTTTTTAAATTGTTGGATTGAATTTATTATCTAATATATACCACTCTATATATATACAACTAATTTTTATATTATGTTTTATAGTTTTGGGATTTTTTTCTACATCTAAACTAAATATATACAAAATTCAAATATAAATTATCTTATTTAATAAAAAAAAATAAAGAAGGTGAAATGATAAATTATTTTTTTATCAACGGTTAACTATAAAAGTTTTGACCTTGAGTGTTGCTTCCCCATGAGTGTTGCTTCGCCTAGTTATTTATTGTGTTTATTGGACCATGTCATTTAAAAAAAAAAAAGAATGGAGCCTTTACTGTTTTAACGTCTAAAATACAATTAAATAATTTATTTGTTGTTACATTGTTTCAAATGTTTAAGATGCAATTAAATAATTCAACCTTAAATATTTCAAACGTTTAAAAAGCAATTAAATTAGTACTATTTCAGTGTTTAATTTTAATTTTTTATTTTTAAAAATAAAAGACCTAAGTTTTTGAAATTTGCAAAACGTGGTATCCAGTCAATTTTTCATTTTTAACAATAAAAGACAAGTTTTTTTACATTGGTTAAGTTTTTTGACATTTGCAAATTGCAAAACAAGTCCACAAACTTTTTTTTCTTCAAACGATAACTTCAATAATTAGAAGTCAAGTAGTGTACAGAGACACAATCAACTGATTATAAATCACCCTACTCTAAAGCAGATGTTAGAGTAGATAACACCAAGCCCATATGGCTTAGTTTAAAAAATATGGGGATCAGCGAAATATTCTGCAAAACTTGTAAATGGAGAACGATCCAGGTTTCAAAGTTTCACGGAAAAGAAAAGAAAGCAAAGACAAGACAATAAGGAAAATCTGTATTTATTATTTAATATACATTTACAAACATCTAATTGCACATACAGATGAGCTATCACACTACTAATACTCGTTGTCAACAAATTTTGGTTCATCCATAATGGATTTTCCTCGCGAAAAAACCCGATTTTCAAGTGCCGAACGAGCAAAATTTGAAGTATACATCTTCATCCACAAGGTTAGCCAGAAATAGCCTTGTAGCCTTCTTTTTCCAATAGTTTGGCAATGGATATATCTCCGGTCTTCACTATCCTCCCATTCTCCTGCAATTCATAATTGTTTCTCATTCTCAGCAATCAACATAATAATATCAGTTTTACACGACAACTATTAAGGCTACATTTGGTAAACCTAGCTAATAAACTATCTTATAGCTTTTAAGTGAATTTCGAACTTACTGCTGATAGCTTATGACTTATGGATGAAAAACTAGCTTGTATGATAAAAGCGTTTGGTAAAATTAACTGATAAGCTAGCTGAAATAAAAATTTCAATGGGCTTACTTAAAATGCCTGCCCAAGGAAGCTTATGAGATAAACTCGAACTTTTTAAAAATGTTCGTCCTATCAAACCAATAAATATAAAAATAGTCGATTTATCTTTCAAATTCTAGAGTTTACTTTTCTCGCAATTTGTGCAATCATGGAATTAAGCGACTTGTAAAATTTCGAAATAGTGTTGGGTTTTTTCTGTAGTTTAGATTGAACCTGAACTGCACTTTTTTGGTTACACCTTCAGTATCTTAAATTAAGCATGAACGAAAAGGAAAAACTAAATACTTTCTTACCATGACATGGATATAGGTCGGCTTTATGAATTCCAGAAGGCGTAAATAGTGTGTTATCATCAAGATTGAATTGTTCGGAGTTCGGAGCCCGTTAACTGCTTTTGCGACATCCCGAAGAGCATCTACATCTAAACCAGAATCAATTTCATCTAAAATAGCCAATTCTGCACCGAGAACCTGGATAAAAGAAATGCTTTTTTCAATGCACGTTTATTCAGAGACTCCAACATACCGAGGACACTTAAATAGCATTAGGGGAGTATCACACTCCACTGAGAAAATATGGCAAAGAAAGTAGAGAAAAATTGGCAACAGTTCCAATGGTAGCCGAAAGATTTCAAGAATCAGCCAAATTGAAAACAACTTTTGATGGGTTAGGAAAATGGCCAAAGTTACAAAGTACATAGATACTGTACCGCGAGCTGCAAAATCTCATTGCGCTTCTTTTCTCCCCCACTGAATCCTTCATTGACATTTCTGTTTAAAAAGTCGATCTTCATATTCACAAGTTCGAGCTTAGGTGCCACATAGGCGTAAAACTGCAACAATGCATTTTTCAATGATGACTTTTAAATATAAAAAACTCCTTCGGTATACTTCAAATTGCATTGCATTAGATTTAACTCTCGGCAAAAAAGAGAACTAAGAAAAAAAGGAGAGGCAGTTGAATCAGATATGTATACAAATTAAGAACAAGAACACGTACTAGAAAGTATTTTTTACTGCACGAAAAAAACTTATGAGGACAATAAACATCAAAAACCTCAGATTTTGGATAATTTTAGGATTTTTTTTTTTTTTTATTTTTTGCTAGATATTTATATCTCCATGTTCTTGTATAAACATTATCCAATTTTCTCCAATATGAATTATTACAGGCACACCCGGTCACCATTTCACCTAGAGAATCTTCTAACTTTTTTTTTTTTTATCTCGTTGCCAAAAATATGAAATTATAATATCCATTCACTTTCACTTTTTTGTCTCACTAATCACTTCAACTCATTAATAAAAAACCATTCAATCACTAATCATTGTTATACATTTTTCCACAAGTTTCACTATTTACCAATTCACGTAACTCTAATTACAATCACTATTTTACGATTTTATATCAAATCGACTTCAATTATTACCTTTTCATTTCATATTCAATCACTGTTAAAGTATTTCATTCTTCTTTCAGAAACCAATTCATTACTATTCTCTCAATAATATGAAAGAATTTCAAAATGAGAGTTATTCAATTGTACCCTCTACAATGATTAAGCAAATTAATTTTCATAAAAAACACGATAATAAGAATAAAACAATAAATAAAAAGCTACCTCAATTGGCCCAAGCTCTGGTAATCCAAGTTTCTTCCTTCGGGCATTGTATGCCATGTTCAGGAAGTCAATATTGCTTACTCCAGGAATTTCAACTGGCGACTGGAAACTCATAAATAAGCCAGCCACAGCTCGTTCCTCAGGTTCCATCTCAAACAAATCTTGTCCTTTATACGATACACTTCCTCCAGTAATTTCATAATCCGGATGGCCAACAAGCACCTGAAGCATCACTTACAAGTTCAAACAAAGAAAACTCGTAACTTGACAAGAAAAAATGAATACCTTTAACAAGTGAACTAAAAACCTCAACTAAATAATAAACGAGTACTTGTAAAATGGGACATCTAATGCCCAACGTCACCAAGTAACAAAGTCACCACATGCGTCATTAAAGTAAAATAGATATTTCATGGTATTGGTGTTTAAAATCATAATTTCAAGTGTCAAATAAATATGTAGACACACACAATTTTTGTCTAAAGCTCTATATTGAATCTACAAGTTTCTCTTGGCTTACTTTGATTCAAATGAGAAAATACAAACCACAAAGATCTAGTACCCAAACGAATATTACAAAGGGTGTACAAGCTCAACCTGGTGCAGTTTAATAATCAAACAGTCATACCCAACACTACATTTAATATGAAATCTCGATTCATATACTGTATACATCCACCTAAAAAAGACATACGTATCCAAAAGCAACACTAACCTTCGCAAAAGTACTCTTCCCAGAACCATTCTTCCCCATCACAGCGTGAACCTTTAAAATTCAACAACCACATTAGATCCCAAAAATCAAACACTCATTGTGTCACTCTACACAACAACAACTTTGAGGGTGGAAGGATTAAAGTTGATTTTGACTATTTACATTCCAAAATTCCAATTTCAACTTTCAGTGAATAAATATATCATAAACATATATTACAGCCATCCTTTATGAAATTATGCCTGATTTCAGCCAGAAAAAATGACAGACCGTATTTGAATAAAATTATGTACCTCTCCTTCATAGACAGTGAGGTTAACACCTTTCAGGATAGGCTGCTTGGACTCGGTGATTACGGCGGACAGGTCTTTGACTTCGAGGAGGAGCCTTGGAGTGCCGCCATCGATAGTGAAGGATGAAGTGGTCTCGACAGCAATGGAGGCCCTTGGAGGAAAGATACGTCGGGATTCCACAAACCGACGGCGTTGAGGAACAGTAGAGGTTGAAACTTTGAGAGAAAAGTTTGGAGTAAAGAGAGCCATCTGAAGGAAAAGAGATCAAGAATTTTTTCTTTAGATTTTTAGAGCACGTCCAAATAGATGTTTTTATCATATTAAATAAATTTGTTTGATTATAGGTGTATTGTTCACGCCCCAAATCAGAATAAGGGAAAATAATATACAAGTCAACTGTATCAGAGTAAGTATAACTAAGTGTAAAATAACAATGCACTATTGTTCGAGCTTCTTTAAGTCCCTAAGTTTTAATAGAACAAGGCACCACCACGGAAGCTTCTGCAAACATACAAGCCCAAAATAGTATTCACTGGAATTAACAATTCTACATTGGTTAAGAAACTCAATAACCGAAGGAACAAAACGACCTTGCTGCTACAAAACCTGACAGCAAACAGTCAGGTGCAGTGTTCATATTTTAAACGTAAATTCAACTAGAAAACAAAAATTGGAGTGATTCTTGCTCCAATATAACCCCAAGACACATCTAAAACTCTTATGTAAACTTCAAACATGAACAAATACTAAAAAAAAGTGAAAACGAGCTTCAACTGAACAGCATTGCCGCTGAAAATCTGGACAGGCAACTATACACAGTCAGTGTATAACGAACATAAGTTTTACTAGAAAATAGATATTTGATTGATTCTTGCTCCTACGGAAAGCCAAGACACTGGAGCTACAACCCTTGAGAAGAAACTACAAATAGATGGCTACATTACAAGTGTCCAACAGCATAAATCCGGAGAGACAGTGCACAGCTAGATATAGTAACAGAAAACTTATAATATAACATTTAGGTCCCAAAACAAAATCAAATTCTCTAAAACTACCGCTCACACACACGAAGCTAGAGACGAAGCTTTGAATTTAGTACACGAATTACAAAGTTCCGACAACACCGAACGCCGGCACAGGCGACGCGACGGGTGTTGGCAGTTAACGGCTCGTTCTGGCTTTTCCGGCATCGATTCTTAAATTTGTTTACATATATATAGATACTACCTATCATAACGCACGGTATAATGTGTAAATCAAATTGTTTTACCAGTGAGAGAGAGGTGGTCGCGGCGGCGAACGGCTGCTGGCGGTGGGAAAGGAAAATGAAGATGAGAGAAGATGACTGAACTGAGTCGTGGGCTCGTGGTCCTCGTGGATGCTATTTTGTCTGCGAGCCATGGATTTATTAAAATGAAAATTTGTTGTTGGGTCAAATACTTGGGCTTCTGAGTTGAATTAAGAAAAATAAGATAATAAGTTTGTTGGGCCTAATAATGGTCGGTTCAAGGCGAAGAATACAACACTGTGTATTAGTCTATTAATGTTAAACGAATTTTAGTTAAAACCAATTGTCTATTTGAAAAATAAAAAAACATAATTTTTGTTTAACATTCTCAAATACTTCTTACAAGTTGAATTTTTAATTTTATTTAACATGACACTCATCGATTATAATAATTTTTTTAAACTCTTATCATATACTAATAGATTTGATAGTTTTATTATTTTTAATTAGGCTTTATTTGATAATTGAATTATTATTTATAAAGGTAAAAATAAAATTGTACACATATACACAATATGAAAATCATATCTAAAAATCTCAAAAGTATATCATGAAAAACTAACAAGAAGTAAAAAAAAAAACTTATTGAGTTTTAAATTATAAAGTTTTAAACTGCATGAACTAGATTAAGCACCAAAATCAACACTTACAAACATAAGCAATTAAGTAACTAAAGGGGGGCAAATGGGTCATTCTTCAATACAAAACAAAACAACAACACTAACAAATTGAAATTCTAAAATATATTACAATAAACCCCGTAGCAGTATGTTTAAAAGGAAAAAGAAAGAAACAATGCCAAGCAGAAAACAAACACTAGCATCAGTCAACAGCTCCCATCAAAGGTGTAACTAAAATAAGTAAACAAATCTTGCAAGCGTTACATTTGACCGAGTAAACCAAAAAGTTAAATCAAATCAGCTACATTCATCGGCATTTCATCAATCTGTGTACTGTAATATTGCTCGATATCTCTCAGGATTTTGATGTCATCGCTTTTAACAAAGTTTATGGCAACACCCTGCAAACCATCACGAACCTCACATTAGTGAGCGAACAATTGCAAACGAAAACAGCAAGAATCTCATATTTTTTTCAAAAAAAAAAATGAGGAAACGAAAAAGAATTGCAAAATCTTAATCCCATCCACTTTATAGAAGAAGGTATGGAAATTCTCAGAGGCTCAAGTAGGGCTGCACACGAATCGAGCGGCTCGCAAGCGCTCGAGTCAAAGCTCTGCTCGAGCTCGAGTTTGACCAAACTCGAGTCGAGCTCAAGCCCATATTTTGCATTGTCGAGCTGCTCGTAATATATGTGAAACTACTAAAATGCCCCTTGTATATATATGTGTATCATAATATTAATATATGTACTTAATGGTAATTTTATAAAATTGCTTAAAAATTTTCGAACCAGCATTTTGAATTCGAGCTGAGTTCGAGATGTATTTTTTATCAAGTCAAGCTCGAGCCTACTCGATAAGACCAATGCTCGACTCGACTCGGCTCGGCGTTTGCAACCCGAGGCTCAAGATAATCACAATAGTCCATGTTATAGGACCCATGTAGGACAGTTGCAATAGTTCAAGGACCAAGAGATTTTAGAACCTCCTACTCAACAGTGATTAATAAAGACTACAATGACAATAAAGAATGTCTTGAGAGCGTGTCATGAAAATACCTTTCTCCCAAAACGGCCAGACCGTCCAATACGATGAATGTAAAGCTCTCGATTATTAGGGAGATCATAATTGATCACCAGAGAAACCTATCAAAACCAAATAAAAAGCAGGAAAGAATAAGTCACTAACTATTTCATTCTTGGAAAGATAAGAGCAATAACACAAAGAATATACCGGTTTTAAAATATCTATTAAATTGTCCGAATACTGACACTAATATGATGGGCAAAATTTTCAAACATGGGAGTAAGTGAAAATATGAGTCCAGATATACCTGTTGAACATCAATTCCCCTAGCCCAAACATCAGTTGTGATAAGAACTCGGGTTTGGCCAGACCTGAATTCATCCATGATTGCATCTCGCTCCTTTTGCGGCATATCTCCATGCATAGAAGAGACAGTAAAGTTATTCTCGCGCATTTTAGCCGTCAGCCAGTCAACCTGTCAATACACAAGGTAAAGCATTCAAAAAATCCAGAGCCACGACATTAGAAGTTTGGTTTCTCAAGTAGAGTAAAATACGCTAGTAGCACAAAATCCACAGTTTGTAATGCTTTTTACTCATTATAACAAGCTACAGTTAAGTTTCTGAAGGCCACCAAATACGTGAGTAGACTGTTGTTTCCAATTATGTTCGCTCCTTTCATAGCAACGCAAATGTGCTCCTATTATGTCTAATCATTACTTGAATCTTTTCATGACGTATAGACTGTTGTTTCCAAAAATTGTGTTCACTCTTTTATAGCAATGCAAATAGTTCTCCTATTATGTCTTAATCATTACTTAAATCTATTCAGTTCCTTATCACTGAGAAATAAATTAGTAGCACTTGCAGACACCTGCCATCCAAACCAGAGGCTTTGATGGAAATTATGGCTATGTAAATTTCACCATAAAACTATACAGTAAACTATAGATACTGATAAATGAATGAGAGAAGTAAACAAAACTTTATTTCATTAATCACAATAGTGTACATATAGTAGCAACCGAAGGTCTAAACTAAATTTATGGACAGCAATAGATTACCTTACGCTTAGTGTTGCAGAAGATAACAGCTTGGGTAATGGTAAGGGTATCATATAAGTCACACAGAGTATCAAACTTCCATTCTTCTCTTTCTACTGCTACGAAGAACTGCTTGATGCCCTGAAAAAACATATATTCATGGAACACCAACAAAGGGTTCAGATACACTAATGAGCCAACAAGTCAAACACGCGTAAGGTACTAAAATAGGTTTCCCCTACTTCTAAAGAAAACTGAGAGTATTTAATCACAGAAAACAATATTAGGATAAAGAACACCCACCTCCAGTGTCAATTCATCACGCTTCACAAGGATACGAACAGGATCGGTCATGAATTTACTTGTCATCTCCAATATTTCATTTGGGAGAGTGGCGGAGATTAAAACTACCTACAGTGCAAGCATAATGAATAAACAGATATAGGCATCCATAATAACAAATAAATATGCAAATAACCTATAGCCATACACATTAAGAGGAAAACTTACGCTATAAACATATATTTTCTCTATTAACAGTGCATTCTTCAATGAAAAAATTTAACTAACAAATAATATCTAGGCCTGTCAATTGAAACTAAATTTTAATTTCAATTTCAAGTTTATGATAAATAACTACATCAAGATCATCCCTTCATTAGAAAGAACATAAATAAGGTACCCTGATGTTTACAATGTCTGTGTACTAGTTACTACCTATTTAAATGTTTCATTAACTTAATAGGTCAACTCTAGGTACCCCAGCATGGAGTTTTAAAAATATATTGAACATAAGCATCACGCTACAGAGAGGAAAATGGAGGGAATGGAAGGAGACTAAAAAAAGAGGAGAGGGAGAAAACCTGTAGCTCAGGTGGAAGATATCTGTAAACATCATAAATCTGATCCTTAAACCCTCTGCTCAACATTTCATCCGATTCATCCTACAAAAGTACCAGAACAAAACAATGTAATGAAAACCCAAATCTGGTTAAGTTTGCGTTCCAATAAGATAGAATTAAAAGAACCGAATAATATAACAGAAAGAAGCAGCTCTATGAATATTACCAGAATCAGCAATTTGATTGCTCTAGTTCGTAAGGTTCTCCTCTTGATCATATCACAAACTCTACCAGGTGTGCCCGACACAACTTGAACACCATGCTCTAATTTTCTTATATCCTCGCCAACACTTTTGCCTCCAATGCAAGCATGAGCTTGAATGTTTATATAGTCACCAATTGTCAGTATTACTTTCTCTGTCTGTGCCGCCAACTCCCTCGTAGGAGACAATATCAAGGCTTGGACCCTTAATTCAAAAAAGTGGTCAATTTTCAAGCATTTGTTGGATACTATGAAAGTTAGACACATCAAATTACTAAAAGCTAGTGTTTTATCAAGCAATAAGAACCCAGTGAAATTGTAGTACATTTAATCAACCATAGACAAACCCTACTCAAGTCAATTGAATCCACTGAAATCCCAATCTCCAATAGGAGGGAATAAAAAAAAAACCAAGAGAGTTCATACGCGCTTACAAAAGCAACACTCTAACAACGTCAGAAGAAATCAAAATTACAGCTTATGCGAGCAGAAAAACACGTACTCGGAGGACTTGGTGTCAACAATCTGGCAAACAGCGAGCGCAATCATGGACGTCTTGCCCGTGCCAGACTGCGCCTGTGCGATGACGTCACGGCCGGAGATAATGGGGAGCACCGCCCGCTGCTGAATGGCGGAGGGCTTCTCGAAACCGTAATTGTAAATTCCTCTGAGGAGATCGTCCTTAATCCCCATCTCGTCGAAGCTCATGATAGGCTCGACCCCCTTCGACGTCTCGAACACAAGCTTCGCGTCGCTCTCCTCCATCGCTCGCCGCGCACCACCTCCTCTCTGAACCGCCGCCGCCATGCCGCTCGTACTCCGCCGGAGGAAGTAGTGTCTGGAAATTTGAGTGCAAACTGAAGAAGGCTAATTTGGTGCGATAGGGTTTGCGAAGTGTGAATTTGTGATTTTTTGGCCCCAATTTTGATTAGCTTGTGGTAAAAACTATGACTGTCTTTGTTTTAGCTTAAATTTGTGCTATTCAAATGACAAGTTACGTGCACTAAAGCCCATTTATGCCCAGTTACTGGACCAATTCCGTTATGGGCTAAAGAATGTTAACCCAAAGTAATAATACAAATTTAGCCCAGAATAATAATCTTAACAATTTTATCTTTATTCATTAAACTGTTGTTCCGTGCCAGTTCAGTGAGCGACCAATTATGAGCCAGCCCAACTCAACTTATAAAACAATTAAAAATTTAAAAAAAAAAAATAAAAAAGCCAAACCTTCGGTTCCGGTTTGAAACAGACTCGACTGCTGGAACCGGAACCGATAGATTAAAAATTACAAATAGGTGGCCCGAAGCTGACCCGATCAAATCACGGGTTCGGTTCAAGGCCCATTGGCCTCAGATCAATTCTGGGCCGAACCGATAGGTCAGGCCAGGCCAGGCCGTCGCCATGTCTAAGACCAGGCCATTACTGGATCAAGTGCACATCATTTGTAAAAGTATGCAATTAAACGGTTCATTAATTATCTGTTTCGTAGTGATTTAAATCAATTCAATAGAATCGATTAACCTAAAAATGATCCTTTGAACACGACTTGGCTTCATTTTCTACTCAGAAAAAGAAGCTCAGCATGCAAGTATATATAATTAAACATAATTAGTCAAATGACCACGATCTCCGTGGGGTGGCCCACCCCGTCGAGTTCTAGCATCTTAGTTTCCAGGCCTCCGACCTCCGGCCTCCATCTTTGTACAAAAAAAAAAACATAATTAGTAAAAGTTTTTTCTTAAAAGAAAAAACAAAAAAAAAAAAAACAAAATCAAACTTGGAAAAATGAAAAGGTGACATATATATACAAACAGGATTTCTCCGACACAAATAACATTTTTAAATTAAAATGCAAATCCCATGCAATCTTCAAATGTTTGGACACGAGCCAAAAAAGATGCAAGAATAACATGCCAACAAACCAAAAAAATGCATTAATTATATTAAATGCATATTTTATTATTACTGTAAAGTATTTATTAGCTCATTTGGAAGACCATATTCTTTAACTGTACCTGTCCTTTCATTTCTCTGAAAGGCCACATTTCATACACAAGCTTAGCTATTATAAAAAATGGGAAATACGACGGTCTCGTTTACGGAATCATTCTGTCGAAATTTGTAACCGTTAGATCAACTATCATCGATCGTTACATGATGATCTAACGGTTACAAACTCCGATAAAATGGTTCCGTAAAAGGATTGTAGCATCTCTCATTAAAAATAATTGAAATTAATTCTTTTTAATAGTTTCTAGTTTTTTTTTTTTCCTTTCTTTTTGCATTTCTAAGACCAGCTTATTATACAAATGTGACATGCCATGTGTATGTATTTATGACAACCTCACAAGCAATAAATTCATAAAGTTTGCGTGGTGTTTCAATTTCCTCAATTTGATGACTTGCATTCAAAGTGCCGTGGCTTTGTAGTTCCTAGGCATCAATTATCGTCTAACTTGTGCTCTAGTTACGAGGAGTTATTAGAAAATTGCAGTTGAGGCCATGTAGTTATAAAGACTTCTGTATTTAGGTCGCTTCATTTCCATAAATATAACTTTTACCCACAAACGTTGTATAAATATTGAACCTACTTAATTTCAATACCAAAATTGAGCACGTTTAGATAATAAATTCAACTAGTTAGATTTAATGAATATGAGGTATTAGTATTTTTATAAAATATTATTATGTAGTAGCTCGTTAAGGTGTTAACGAGCTGAACTCGAACTCGTTTATTGACTCGTTAATTCGGTTTCATTAAGGGTTAAGTCGAGCTTGTTTACGGTTCTAGTTTGTTCAAAAGCAATATATGGAAAAATGCACTTCAATACCAATAAATTTAAGTTAAAGTACAATATAAATATAGTCTACATAGAATTAAATAAATTTTAATTGTAAGTTTTACTTTTTAATAGACTTTTTTTAGATGCCGAATTTAAATATGTTGCATTTAACATGCATCGCGCCAACTTTTGATAGATCATAACTTAGGCTATGTTTGGTAAAACTAGTTGATAAGCTAGTTTATAGCTCATCAGTATTTTTTTAGCTTATATCTTATGACTTATAGCTAAAAAGTTAGCTTATATGATAAAAATGTTTGGTAAAATTAACTGATAAGCTAGCTTATAGCTTATTAATATTTTTTTTAACTCATAGCTTATGACTTATAGCTGAAAAACTAGCTTATATGATAAAAGTATTTGGTAAAATTAGCTGATAAGCTAGCTGGAATAAAAAATTCAATTAGCTTATTTGAAAAGCTACCTGAAGAAACTTATCAAATAAGCTCGAGTTTTTTAAAAAAAACTCGTCATACCAAACGAGACTTATTTGAATATAAGGAGCTTATAAGCTAACTAAATAAACTATAAGTTCACTTATTTATCTACCAAACATAGTGTTAGAGAGGCAGATTTGATGGGGGTAGATTGCTTAATTAATCAATTTTAATTACACAACTTTTTCCAAAAAAATCATTTTATATATATCAACGTATTTTTTTTTCTGTGTTTTTTATTTGAAGTGTATATCTGTGTATGTTAATCTAGTTAATAGTTTATAATTAGTTTGATATAACTCATAAATTGATTTTGAACTTATAGGCGATACTTGGAAAATTAAGTAATATAGCAAAAGTGTTTTGTAAAATTATTAGTTTATAAAATAAAATGTTGGATGTTATTTAATATATAATACATAAGGAAACTTATTCGATAAGTTCGCGATTTATAAAAAATAAAAAATTAATTTACCAAATCAATTTTTTTTTTTTTATGCACAAACTTACAAACTAACTAATAAATTATATAGTAGCTTGTATTGCTAAACATACTCTCTAAGATTGTATTTTGTATTCTTATGTACATTTGTTTTTTCGTAATTTGTATGTGTGTAATTTGCAGCTTGAGTTCATCTATTTTTACTAGTACGTAGCTCGTGCGATGCACGGGTAGATAATATTAAAATTATTTTTATAGATTAAATGTCTGTAAAAAAATATTAAAATGATTGTAGATTAAATGTGGTTACACAACAAAAATTAAAACTGTTAAATGTGTAGTTGATTACCCAAACACAACTTATCTCTCGTTTTTTTCATCTCTTCTTTTTTTATTTTCATCTATCATTTATCGATAATAAACATTTAACCATATTTTTGTATGGTAAAAATATTATATTTATATGTTTAAATTTTAAATTAATTATTCAATTCAACAATTAATCTAGCGGTTGAGCTGGATCCCGATTTATAAAGTATATTCATAAATATATTCTCATTATTATATTAATAGTTGGATAGTGGCAAAGAACGTAAATAAAAATTTAAGTTGCACTACCTTTTAAATTATTATATGCAATTAGTTATATTAGCATACTTTTGAGTTAGTACTTTGATATGTGTCTTCCTTTTTTTTTTTTTTTTTTTCTCAAACATCTATCTTTTACTGACTATGATTTTTCTATAGTCTTTGTTCGCATTTTTTTTTCCTTGTTAAGTATTAATGTCTTTGCTTTTTGAAAGTTTAATAATATTATTAATTATTATCTATTTCACATATATAATATCAAATTAACTTTAATTTTACGATATTTGATACCACCCCCAACAAAATCATATTGGTTGATATTTAAAACAACTACACTATATGATTATTTTAACATTGCTGATTAGATTTTATCATCAAATAAATTTCAAAGATAACTCCTAACAAAATTCGTATAAACGCTTTCATATAGTATATATCATAGATAACATTTTTTTTTTGTTCCAAATAAGAATAAAACTTACCAATAATTTATGAAATGTATACAAAATGAAAAAAAAAAATAATCTATTTTAAAAATAAATTAAATAATATATAAAAAACATCTTATATATACATGAATCTTGGGACGGATTTCTATTGTTTCCAACTACAAAAAATAAATTTTTAAAAATTAAATATCTATATATATATGTTTTTCCACTCACTCAATATCTACAATCGTTAGTTAATATCATTTGTTCAAGATATCATGTAAATATACAATAGCTGAAGATACTATATATAAATTTTTTACTTTATATTTTGTATAAAATAATCATGAAATTACAATTAACTAACTTCTTATAATATCATAAATCATTGATTGTTAGTGCCGTGAATTGGCACAAATATCAAATGATATGGAATGTATGCTATTAGAATCTTTAATTATCTTTTGTTTGAAAAATACCATAAAATCGACTACAATTACCTAAATTATACGTTTAAAAAATACCATAAAATATTTAAATAATTTCTAAATTTAGTAAACAAAATTTTTTTGGGGGAAAATAGTTAACATTTTAAAAAATAATCAAACATTTTTTATATATATAGATATAGACTTTCATATTTATCAAAAATTTTAAAATTTAAAGTAATTATTTAATTTAACAATAAATGAATTAAAATTAATTACATATATTCTTATTTAAAAATTGTAAATTAATTACGTATTAGTTAATTAAATTTAATTGTCAAATCGGAGTATAAATAATATTAAAAATATATAAGCCGATGAAGTTTTATAGTATGGGAAAAATAATATAATAAATATGTAACAAAATTGAATTTTTTTTTTTTTTTTTTTTTT